AACCAGTGCGTGTTGTCAGTGATGACTTACGGATCAGAGACGTGGTCTTTCACTGCTGGCCGTATGAGGACGCTCAAGGTCGCTCAGCGAGCTATGGAGAGGGCTATGCTCGGAGTTTCTCTGCGTGATAGACTCAGAAATGAGGATATCCGCAGTAAAACCATACCATATTTATATGGTCACTTAAAACTCTATAACTAAGTTTTATACTTTCATTCATGTTACGACTCATTTGATTTTCCAATTCTACTGTACAAAATAAACCAGCGTGACCGTCTGCAAGACGATTATGCCCTACCCTACTGTCAATATTTGTTGTATCCATATTATAGTTCATAAAAGATAGCTTGATCTCTGCGACAGCTGTCAGTAAAATCACACCTATGAAGCACTAAATTTCTTAGTAGTACAGACAGTACCTGTCAATGTTATACTTTATGGGCATGCAGACCTAATTAGTGCATGCCCATAAAGTATGACATTGACAGGTACTGTCTGTACTACTAAGAAATTCAGGACTTCATAGGCGTGATTTATACTGACAGCTGTCGCAGAGATCAAGCTATCTTTTATGAACTATAGTATTACATTTTCAAGACAAGATGTTACATCATTGCGCAAAAAGGTTGCTGACTCAATTAAATATTTGAAATTATAACAAGTCAACAGGTTCAAAAATTCATTTTTTTTGTTTATCAGTGCTCAATAAATAAATGTTGAAGTCACCGCAAAATATAATTTTCTTATTAAAAAAATGTTCAGTAAATCGCCCTAATCTTTCCATAAAAAGACCAAAACTTTTCTGTATAGGATTTCGATAGCAACAACAAACATAAATATGTGAGTTCAAGTCTTTAACACCATAAATTTCAAAAAGTTCAGACTTATATAGTTTTTTTGCAGAAGACATCTTTCCTCACATTTAACATTATTTAAACCCAATATCATTGAACCACCTCGTATTTTGTTTGCTCGTAACTGTAAGCTACTAATTTATAACCTTCTAATTTAAATATAGGAGTTGTTAATTTTTTTGCTGTTTATTTCATTAGTTAAAATGTATGTTAACTATCTTTAAAGCAAGGCACAAAGATGAGAACGAAATAATAAGAAACACTTTTTATTTAAAAATACCAGCAATTCTATTACCATTACTACATTCTCACTTCGACTATTCATCATCATCATCATCATTACAACCCTTCACAAGTCCACTGCTGAACATAGGCCTCCCCCAAGTAATGCCACAAAGCACGGTCCTGACCCACCTGCATCCATCGACTTCCTGCATGTCTTACCAGGTCGTCACTCCATCTAGTGGGGCGTCGCCATACACTACGCCTACCGGTACGAGGCTGCCACTCGAGAACCTTTCTTCCCTATCGGTTATCGGTTCTTCGAGCTATATGGCCGGCCCATTGCCACTTCAGCTTACTAATCCGTTAGGCTATGTCGGTCACTCTGGTTTTACTGCGGATATCCTCATTTCTGAGTCTATCACGCAGAGAAACTCCGAGCATAGCCCTCTCCATAGCTCGCTGAGCGACCTTGAGCGTCCTCATACGGCCAGCAGTGAAAGACCACGTCTCTGATCCGTAAGTCATCACTGACAACACGCACTAGTTGTACACTTTAGTTTTCAGAGATTGAGGTATACCTGACGAGAAGATGTGTCGTAATTTCCCGAACGCTGCCCAGCCGAGTTGAATCCGTCGATTGACCTCTCGGTCGAAGTTGGACTTACCTAGTCGGACTATTTGTCCCAGGTAAACCTACTCGTCACCAACTTCGAGCATAGTGCTCCCCACAACTACCGGCATAGGTGTGACATGGACATTGAACATAATCTTTGTTTTGTCCATGTTCATCTTAAGACCTATCCGTTGAGAGACACCATTGAGGTCATTGAGCATAGTGCTAAGGTCCTCCAGCGATTCTGCCATAAGGACTATATCGTCGGCAAATCGAAGGTGAGTGATGCACTCGCCAATGATGTTAATACCGTATCCTTTCTAGTCCAGTAGCTTGAAAACGTCCTCCAACGCAGCGGTGAAGAGTTTCGGGGATATAACGTCACCCTGTCTTACACCTCTCTACAGTTGGATAGGTTTCGAACTCTGGTTCTGTACTCGGATAGCCATCGTAGCCCTACTGTACAAACACTTCAGCACCTCGATATACCGACAGTCAACTTGGCACCGCTGAAGGGACTGTAGCACCGCCCAAATTTCGACGGAATCAAAGGCTTTCTCATAGTCCACATACGCCAGGCAAAGTGGCAGATTGTACTCTTCGGTCTTCTGTACAATCTGCCGCAGGGTATTTATGTGGTCTATGGTACTGAAGCCTTTTCGGAAACCGGCTTGTTCGGGAGGCTGGAAGTCGTCGAGTTTGCGTGCGAGACGATTCGTAATGACTCTCGAAAACAGCACGTAGACGCGGCTCAGAAAGGAAATCAGTCTGTAGTTCTTCAAGAGAGCGTTGTCGCCTTTCTTAAAGAACAAGACCACCGCACTTCTGCTCCACGCCTTCGGAGTAGTGCCACCATGGAGGACGGAATTGAAGAGCTTCTGAAGGACTTCAAGTACCGGTGTTCCACCCGCTTTCAGAAGCTCCGCTGTAATTCCATCCTCGCCTGGGGCCCTGCCGTTTTTAAGGTGCTGGAGGGCCATTCTAATCTCGCTCAGACTGACTACCGGGATATCATCGGAATAGTGTTGGGTAAGACTTGCTCTTGTATCGTTACTCACACTTGCGTGTGGCTCCAATGATGATGTGTACAGCTGCCCATAGAACCTCTCAATCTCACTCAAAATCTCAGGTGTCCCGGAAACGATGCTGCCACACTCAGTCTTCAGCTTTGACAGTTGGCTCTTTCTGGCAGACAGATCTCTGGCAAAGAGTTTGGAGCCCTGTTTCCGCTCGATCGCTTCTTTAATACGAGCAGTATTAAAGTTGCGTAAATCTTGCCGCATGCATTTGGAGATCTGTCTGTTCAGTTGCCTGTATGCTGTCAAATCTGTTGACGATTGCAGCCTCATCTCCCGTCTAACAGCCATGAGATTAAGAGTGTGATCGGAGAGTTTTTGTGTTCTTCTGCGGCGGGTCTTGCAGAACTTAGCTCCGACCGCATGGACAGTTTCCACGAGCTTGTCATTCATATCGTCCACTGCATTGCAATTTTCTAGGCACTGAAAGCGGTTACGTAACTCGAGCTGAAAAGTCTCGGGATTCTGGATCAGAGCACGAGGGGGACGGAGCGTTGACTTCATTAGACGAGACCTCTCCAACTTAACGTTTAGGTTCAGTGTGCCTCTAACCATTCGGTGATCGCTGCCGGTTTTCACCCTTGCGATCACTGAGACATCACTGAACAGTTGGCGTCTGGTCGTCATAATGAAGTCAATCTCATTTTTTGTCGAACCGTCGGGGCTCGACCAGGTCCACTTCCTGTGGCGCCGCTTCTGGAAAAAAGAGTTCATCATAAAGAGTCCCTCTTTCTCCATGAAGTCAGCCAGCTGCTGGCCCTTACGGTTCCGTTGCCCTACTCCAAATTTCCCTAACTTCAGCTCACCGCCTTCTCTTGTGCCTAGTTTTGCGTTGAAGTCTCCCATCAACACCGTGTAGTGGGTTTTGGAGGAATGCACGGCTCTAGAAATGTCCTCATACATTTCCTCCACCTCCTCATCGGGATGTGCCGAGGTTGGTGCGTAGACCTGTATGACCTTCAGCGAATACCGTTTGGTGATTCTGAGTATCAGGTACGCGACCCTCGTCGACACACTCCCAATCTTTACAACGTTGTTGACGAGAGACTTGTGGACGATAAATCCGACACCTCCTTGGGACAGATGGTCGCCCTCCCGGTGATAGAACAAGTTGCCGGACTCGAGGATTACCGTGTCCTCCCCCTCTCTTCGGACCTCAGATAATCCAATAATATGCCAGCGCAACTTGTCTACCTCTTCTTCCAGCTCCAGTTAGGTGGTGGCGCTAGGTGGCAACCGAACCTCCACCGGAGATTCTTAGCACCCCCTGCCCCGCCGTTACCATGGTCGCCACCGTAGCCAGGAATAGCGGGGCCGCCGGGGACTGGGGGCCGTTTATTTGTGTCGTTGCTCATGGGGGGATATTTGCCATAGTTGCCACGCTTGGCGAGCGGGTTGGCAACGCAGTTATTATAAGATGTTGTTATTAGGAAGATGCTGCTGCTCATCTCCTTTCTGTGTCCCTCTGTCGCCTCTTACAACACCCACGGGAAGATATGGGGTAGTGATATTCTCAACCGCCACTACACGGCAATCGTCTTCGACTATTGGTAAGCTTAAAAATAATAATCGAATGACAGATTCGAAGCCACAACCTTTTGGAGATCAGTACGCTTAAGTGGCAATGTACTAACCACTTTGAGTATTAAACCAAAGGAAACAGCATCGCAAGGCATTAAACGGCTCTGTTTAATGCCTTGATATTGGTGTGGGACAGAGGCTTTTTGGTTTAGTACACAAAGTGGTTAGCACATGCCACTTAAGCGTACCGATCCGTTGGTCTTTATCGCTTACTAAAATTCATATGCGTATGTCTTTATTACGAAATTTATCAAGCAATTAAACTCCAACATATTATTATAATCACTAAGCTTTACATAGAGCTTTTATTATTTTGACTGAAGGACTCTGTGTCCGTGCTCATTTTTGTAATAAATAAAAAAAAACATCAGTGTGATGTGAACTGTCAAATGTCAATGTCATTTCGAATGAATTTGTTCAAATCAATACCTATGTAGTTTTGATTATTTTTAACTTTATAGTATGTAAAATTATTTTATGGACTTATTTTCAAATGCCGAAAAGGTGTTCGCGATTTCCTAAAACGCGTTTCATTGATAGACCGCTTCAATATTAGTAATATTATGTGATAATTTCTCTCGTAACGGTTGAGCGGATTTTAGTTACGGAAATGAGAGTATTTGTGTCGAAATTCGACTGAAATCGACCGTGATGGATTTGTCTCCAGACGAAGATCACTTCCCAGGTCGATTGCTGCATCAGGTACCGCGAAAAACTGCAACATTAGCTTGAATTGAATGCTTCTTATAAAACGTAGTGATTATGTATTATTTGGCACTTATAAATTAATTTAACACTAGAGATAGTTAGGTACAACGATAATTCACTGTCGGGTCAAGTGCTCGAAAGATTAATCTAGGTTCCGTGTTCATTGAACTGCATGATCGCACTTGTTTCATTTTTTTTTGGACAAGTGTGGCTAAAGAGCACACAGTCCCTCTGATGGTTAGTGGATACTGTGGCCCATAGATTTATCCTTGATTAAGAATCAACATGCAAATGTGTTGTCACTCTGGAAGTTGTAAGATGGAATGCCTAGTTTATAGTAAAAACCTTTTTGGAATAACAACTTCTTTAGGCACATTGGGTACTTTTGGGATTGGGAAAATAACTGAGCTCTCGTTGTCATGCGATTTCAGTTCTTTCTCACTTTCTCTCATGCTTGGATACATAAAATTGATGAAAATAATGTTGAAAATCCAATTGATTAAATTTTATGATGTTGAAATGTATTTATAAATTTTTCTGTATTATATAAATAATAATCATTCTTTTTCATGTACAAAACAGTGCAATATATGAAAATTTTATTAATATGTAGTGTATTAATGTAATAAGTTTTTAAAAAATAACTTCTAATAAAATTTACTATAAAACTTTTTCTAGCAATCTAAGAATTTTTCTCTTCTGATGTGCAGTCCTACGACTGACAGTTTTTTTTACTATATAAGGTAATTGTACTTTGCCTATAACCTTTGCAAAAGCAATAATTTGACAGAGTTTTACCGCCACCTGAATATGGTATGGCGGAGCATAAAAAACAAAACATAATTTTTATACATTAGAAGATATGTGTTACAAGTACATTTCATTAAATAAAATTAAACATCTTTGTTTATGTTCATACTACAAATATCAAACAAATAATTTTCCTTGGGACAAAGTTTGTGGTTTGTTGACATTCTTTCCAAAGAGTATGTTATAATCACTAATGTTTCAGAGTAAAGATATCTGTGTTTTATATATTAATGTGCAGTTGAAAGTGAAATACAGCTTTTTAATATACAAACCAAAACATTTAATGAATTACAGTCAAATTTTAACAACATAGTGATCACTAGTATAAATAAATAATATAATTAATATAATATAATTTTACATGGTAGAGCCATGCTGCAACCATATTATAGTTGTAGCATGCATGGGTCGGCTCTACTGGGGAAGGACCACACTCTCACAGAAAACCAGCATATAATAGTAGCTTAATGCTGCTATGTTTCGTATGGTGAGTGTAGAGAACCGGAGACCCTCTTTACTGGAAATGAGGCATTCCATCTTAGTCCTCATGGGTGACAATGCATTTGCATTTTGATTCGCTAACGAGGATAGATGTGGATGTCTGTGGGCCACAGCAACCACTTACCATCAGGTGGACTGTGTGCTCGTTTGTCACCCTTGCTCTATAAAAAAGAAATAAATAAATAAAGTCATCCCATTTTACCTAGTGGGTGCTGATCAATGTCTAAAAAATTATCTTATAGTAAAAAAAATTATCATAAATTTTTTATTTTAAAACGGTGTGCCCTACTTTCTACTGCTCAGAAACTTTCACCTGAAAATGTGAAGTGTTACATGTCATACTATAATAGGCACTTGGCCTACTCAGTTGGAAATTGAATTCTAAATCAATTGAATCTTGAAACTGAAGGTAAATTTTGTACTCTCGAAACCATTGCTAGTGCACAATTGTTGCTAGGAATTGGAATTATCAGAATGGAATCTAGAAATGAAACGGATGGCTGTTTGGCCGAATACTGAATACCGGATATTCGGCCAGTCTTTTCACCAGATAGCCGGATATCCAGCCGCCTGATATTCTGCCGAATCAGTTAAGAGGCGAAAAGTAAAGTCAGTGCAAACTGTTTGCGATCGTGACCCTTATATTTGGTGTATAAGTTTAATTTACTGAAAATTATTTTCCGAATATTTGATTGTGCCTAGTGGTGCTGATAATGCTTAATGGAAACTCGATCGTGCTTCTCGAATTGAATTTTTTCGTAAGCTTTTGAAATTAGTTTTGAGCTTATGGCTCATCCGATGGTAAGTGATTACCAACTCAAACACCAGGGAAATTGCAGATGCGTTGCAGGCCTTTTAAAATGGAGTAAGTCTAAGTCTTTCTTCTTTTAAATTGCACAGTGGTGGACCACCAGTCAACCAGATGGTATGGATGGTATCGCGAGCTTAGTCGCGATGTGTGATGGTGAAATTGTGCGGCTGGAATTAGTCCGAACAATTCCTCAGAGCACTCTCCGTGGTAAATGCGATAAAATACGTAAACAGATGCAAAATCTCTCGAACCTCTGCGCTGGTGGAACCTCTGGAGCGTGCAATAGAGGGAGGAGCTGGCACTGAGGAGCCCCAGTCCAGATATGGGAACAATATTCCATGTGCGGCCGAACCTGCGCCTTGTAAAGATGCAGGCGATGTGCCGGCATGAAATACTGTCCCGTTCTGCTGAGCCTCCAAGCGTTTTTGTGGCCAATTTGGCCTTCTCTTCCAAGTAACCACGACACTGCACGTCACTCGATATGTGAACGGCGAGGATTCCGATACTGCCTGAGGCAACAAGGGGAGTGCCTTGAAACTGAGAAGATACGACGAAGGGGTTCTTTTTGGCGTTAAACGCGCACACTTGTGTCTTTTGGTTATTGAACTGGACTAGGTTTAGTCGCCCCCAGTCCGAGACTTTGTTCAACAAAGTCTCGACTTCAGACACAAGTTTGTCCCGGTACTCGGCGACGTTTTCCCGACAAATATTGGCGCGGCCGGTGTTTTAAGCATCACCAGTGCTGTCGTGCGGCATAGTTATCGGTTTTCAATAATAAGAAGCCCATAGGAAAGCAGCTACGTAAGAAGCGCTTTTTGCCAAACCCGATCGGAGGCCTTCGCTATGTCTAAACTAACGATCAACGCCTCCCCCTTGGACTCTAGTGCCTCCGCCCATCTATGATCTCTGATTAGGTAACACAGAAGATCACCAGCTGAGCGACCCCGACGGAACCGTACTGGCAGTCACTAATCAGCTGGTGATCCTCAAGGTACCTCATAAGATGACAGTTTATAATGGATTCCATTATTTTTGAGAACAAGGAGGCGATAGCGATAGATCTGTAGTTAGACGGATTTGAGCGGTCGCCTTTTTTATGAATCGTGTGCACTAAAGTTGTCTTTCATAATTTCGGGACTACGCCTAGGGAGTAGGAGTACCGGAAAGGACGCACTAAAACCGGTGCCATTTCCAGAACACACGTCTTCAGCACAACAAGAAGGACGTTATCAGGCTCACTCGATATTGGAAATCAATTTGGAGATCAATTTTCGTAATAAGCCAGTTTAAAAATTTATGTTTGTACATTGCCCCCACGATACAGGAGAAAATCCTAGTGTGGAGTGGAGTGGTAACATTTAAAAAAAACGACGGGTTGCACTCCGGAAGTGCCGGCAGAAGTGAAAACTTGAATATTAATTTTGTGCATTTTTGATATTTTGGAATGTGCAAGTGCCCTGCGCCGCCTAAACGAAAAAGCAGGCGTAGTCATACATTTTAGCCGCGCGGTAGAAAGAGAGGGGGATACTTCCTCTTCTACGCCGCGCCGGCTGTCTCTCTCTCTCTTTTTTTTATAGGGTAGGGTGACAAACGAGCACACAGTCCACCTGATGGTAAGTGGTTGCTGTGGCCCATAGACATCTATATCTATCATCGATTGCGAATCAAAATGCGGATGCGTTGTCACCCGTGAGGACTAAGATGGAGTGCCTCGTTTCCAGTAAAATGGGTCTCCGGTTCTCTACACTCACCATACGAAATACAGCAGCTTTAAGCTACTATTTCATGCTGGTATTCTGTGAGAGCGTGGTCCTTCCCCGGTCGAGCCGACCCATTCGTGCTACAACTATACATCTAATATAACTGCAGCATGGCTCTACCACGTCTAAGAGAGACGAATGGAGAGAGAGTCTCTCAGCCCACTCTTAACAGAGTTTCTCTCTCTCCATTCGTCTTACGAATTTTGGATCAGAGTCACGTGTCCTGACTCGAGTTTAACATTTTTTACCCATTACAAAAAAGTGTACAACGCCGCTAAAGAAGTTTTCACTTCAAAAAGAAACAGTTATTGGAAGTAGTGCTTGATTTTACGCAATAAGGTATAGAGGTTGGGATATAGAAAAGTCCACCAGACCGGAACTTCGTTCACGACAGCCAGTCTCGATGGACACTAGCCATCTGCGCTGGACAAGATTATTGTTCACGCGTGCGTGCACAAGTCCGATGTGACGGCAACCTGACACGATCGGAGGGAGATCAGGCGCAGGCATAACGGCTTTATGTGCTTTGCGAGGTACGGGGGTGAAACACCCTGCTTCACCTCTGTGCTGCTAGTGACAATTTCTTGATAGATTCCAACCCAAGACCATCATCAGCAGTCGTACTTACGATTACTAGATCAACGAGTCAGTCGTACATATGTAATTACCTTATATCATATACCGTGACAATTTTACACTACCAGACTCAAAAACCAAAAGCTTACAAGCCAGCGTGAGCGAAAAGGCGCGCAGTTTAAAACAGGAGATGGGTAGGAACACCATCCTGATAACTCAAAATAATATAAAACTGCGTTTACCCACACGCAAGCCAAGCTGTGGTAGCTCAGATGGTTAGCGTTCGCTATAAATGTCACAGAACGCGATCATTCTTTTTATAGAAGAGGGGGAAAACGAGCATGCGGCTCACCGGATGTTAAGCGACTACCGCCGCCCATGATCTACCGCAACACCAGAGGAATTGCAGGTGCGTTGCCGGCCCTTTAGAGAGGAGTAAGCTCTTTTCTTGAAGGTCCCCAGGTCGTATCGGTCCGGAAAAATCGCCGGTGGTAAACTATTCCACAGAGAGGTTGTACGCGGAAGAAAACTCCTTTTGAAACTGTACGTGGTAGACCGCCAAGCATCCAGATGGTGTGGATAGTATCGGGACGTTTGCCGCGTAGTGCGTTCACGAAATTTGGCGGCTGGGACTAATCCAAACAATTCCTCAGAGCACTCCCCATGGTATATGCGAAAGAAAATGCAAAGAGATGCAACATCTCTTCGCAGCGAAAGTGAATCGAGCCGATTGGAAAGCACTTGGTCGTCGATGATTCGAGTCGCTCTGCGCTGGATGCGGGCAAGTGGAAGGAGCTGGTACTGGGGAGCCGCAGCCCAGAGATGGGAACAGTATTCCATGTGCGGCCGAACCTGCGCCTTATAAAGTTGCAGGCGGTGTGCCGGCATGAAATACTGTCCCGCTCTGTTGAGCACTCCAAGCTTTTTTAGAGGCCAATTTGACCTTCTCTTCCAAGTGACCACGAAACTGCACGTCACTCGATATGTCGACGCCGAGGATTCCGATACTGGCTGAGGCAACAAGGGGAGTGCCTTGAAACTGAGGAGATACGACAAAGGGGTTCTTTCTTCTGGGGGTTAAACTGGACTAGATTTAGTCGCCCCCAATCCGAGACTCTGTTCAGCAAGGATTCGACTTCAGACACAAGTTTGTTCCGGTACTCAAGTACATCAAGCTTTTTTTCCAAGGAAGTTAACCCACTTACAAAACACTGAAAACAAAATCTGAAAACTAGATTGTACAACCAGTGCGTGTTGCCAGTGATGACTTATGGATCTGAGACGCGGTCCTTCACTGCTGGCCGTATGAGGACGCTCAAAGTCGATCAGCGAACTATGGAGAGGGCTATGTTTGGGGTTTCTCTGCGTGATAAACTTAGAAATATTAATCCGCAGCAGAACCAGAGTGACCGACATAGCCCAACGGATTAGTAAGCTAAAGTGACAATGGGCCGGTTATATAGCTAAAGAATCCACAATCGATGTGGAAAAAATGTTTTCGAGTGGCAGCCTTGTACCGGTAGTCATAGTGTAGGGCAACCCCCCACTAAATGGAGTGATGACCTATATGATAAGGCATGTAGGAAGTCCATGGATGCAGATGGCTCAGGACCGTGCTTTGTGGCATTCCTTGAGGGAGGCTTATGTTCAGCAGTGGACTTGTGAAGGACTGTAATGATGACGATGATGATGATGATGCAAAATCAAGGCGTATTGAGAAATAAATGCAATTTACATATACTTATCCTAGATCCTTTCATTGCGTTTCCAAAAACTTATTGATCAACCTAATGCCGTGCTACAGCCATAGTTCACAGCTAGATTTAACTTCGTACTAAGTTTGACTTTTGCGTGATCAGGCAGCCCTGTGGGACAACTTGGAGTTCCTACAGGAGCTGTTGGCTAGCGGGGCCGACGTAAACGCTCGCGATGCGAACAACCGTACGGCACTTCATGCAGCCGCGTTGGCGGAGCGGAGCCGTTGTCTGGTGGCGCTGTGTGCCGAGGGCGCCGAGCTGGACGTGCAGAGTGACGCCAGCACTGGTGGAAAGGTGGGTTAATTAATTTTCGACGTGTAGATACTGGCCGTATATACTGCTCTTTTTGACGTGAATACGTTTTTAAATTTGCATTCATAGCGTAAGGCAATACAGACGTTTTGGTTGCAGGTGTTCACGGGCCACAGTAGCCACATACCATAAGGTCGCGTGTTAGTTCGATTTTATACGTGGTACAGCCACGCTGCAGCTATATTATGGTTGTAGCACGTACGGGTCGGCTCGACCGGGGAAGGACCACGCTCTCACAGAATACCAGCGTAAAATAGCAGCTTAATTCTGCTGTTTCGTATGGTGAGTGTATGGATCCAGAGACCCTTTTTCCTGGAATCGAGGCATTCACGAGGGTGACAACGCATCTGCGTTTTGATTGTTAATCGACGATAAATATAGATGTCTACGGGCCGCAGTAAACACTTACCATCGGGTGGACTGTGTGCTCGTTTGACACCCTTATTCTATAAAAAAACCTTGACACGTCAGTTTTTTATCATAAAAAAAGATGGATTGTCGCACAGCGTGTATTCATATCTACTGACTCTTTATCCTGTTCTTGTTGACTTGTTCTTTGTTACGTATTTGAATTTGATTCCCTAGTAGAAGGCAGTACAGAAAGCTGATGATAACAAAATCAGATACAGTTTGGTGTTGTGGCTAGATATCTATCGGCTACATACGAAATTCAATTACGCCACTCGAAAGCTAAGGGATCAAAGAATTCGTTACGTTTAGTGAGAAACGTGAGCGCCGCCATTTTAAAACCTTTTCGTTACGTTAGCGTGGGTACACCTCGATTTTTTTAAATAGAATAATGGTGACTAGCGAGAACATGTCCACCTGAAGGTATGAGGTTGTTGCAGCTCGTAGAAATCTACATCTATCTTCGTTTAAGAATTGAAGTGCAGATGTATTGTCGCCCTTGAGGACTAAGATGCCTCGTTTCCATTAAAAAGGTTCTCTGGTTCTCCGTATTCACCATACGAAACACAGCAGCATTAGGTTGTTATTTTACGCTGGTATTTTCAGAAAGCGTGGTCTAAAGACTAAGATGGAAAGATTTATTGGAGCGGAGCGAGCGATGCGAGCGGGGCTCCCATGGCGCAAGAAAACGATTCCTTGAAATCTATCTCCTCTGTAGCCCGTAGGCCAATTAACATGGTTTTTGCGGCAATATTTGTAGCTCAACGCAGACAAAGTTTGTAAATAATAAAAATCTGAATTTGAATTTTTTTCTTTTACTATCTAATCAATTCGCTAATTTACATTTGCGTAATGTCACACCATTTGATTGAATCTTTTGTTGAAATAAAGATAGTTATGACTTTAGACTTTTACTCCGCTCCGTTTATGATGCTAGCAAAAGGTTTTACCTTTGCATCTGCATCGGCCCTCGTTACCAGGATTACGGTAAACGGCCAATGCTGTGCAATACGGAACTATATTTATAGCAGAGTCGTTTAGAGAGTTCGATAGTACGGTTTAGGCTTCATTGATGATGAGAGATGAGACGATGAGGCCTGTTGCGACACCCGCTGGACGTTATGGGATAGTGGATATTTTTACCGCCACTTTTCTTTTATAGAAGAGGGAGAAAACGAGTAGGCGGCTCTTTTGATGGTGTCAACCGCCGCGCATCAACACCTGCTACACCAGGAGAATTGCAGATGCGTTAGTGGCCTTTTAAAAAGGAGTAAGCTCGTTTCTTAAAGATCCCTAAGCGGTATCGGTAGTTGTAAAAATTGCCTCAGGTAAACAATTCCACAAAGAAGTCGTACGAGGAAAAGAGGCTCCTAATAAATCACACAGTAGTGGACCGTCAAGCATCCAGATAATGGACATGGTAACGTGAGTTATATCGCAATGTGCGTTGGTGACATTTGGCGGCTGGAATCAATCCGCAGCTATATTATGGTTGTAGCACGAATGGGTCGGTTCGACCGAGGAAGGACCACGCTCTCACAGAATACCAGTGTAAAATAGCAGCTTAATGCTGCTGTGTTCCTTATGGTGAGTGTAGAGATCCGGATACCCTTTTTAACTGGAAACGAGGCATTCCATCTTAGTCCTCACACGTGACAACACATCTGCATGTTGATGCTTATCGAGGTTAAATGTGGCTGCCTATGGGCCACAGCATCCACTTACCATCACGTGGACTGTGTGCTCGTTTGTCACCCTTATTTTATAAAAAAAAACATGCTCAGAGCACTTCTCGTGTTAAATGCGATATAACATGCAAAGGGATGCAAAATCTCTTCGGTTTTGCATTCTGCCACTAATTTGTTTACCACAGTGTATTACAACACCCAATCCAATCCAAGTCCAATCCCGAACAACCTTGTACATAATTACAACAAGGCTGCCTATGTCCATCGTTTAAGTATATTCAACACTTAAACTGTGGACCTTGGCTGATAGTACTTCCTTATCGTCACAGCGGATGAACTATACAGTTTAATGTAAATGCAATGGTAACGCATCCGACCGAAGCGTTAGACGTACACTCTTTGTATGAATAATGCCAAATTATTTCCAGTATTTAGTTTTTTTAGTATTATGTTTGTGTCAACATTTAAATTGAATTTTTGAACGCAAAAAGCGTAAAGTTCGACGAGTGAGTATGCCCTTTTGGACCTTTTTGTCTTATTAACAATAATAAACAAATATTGTCTTATTAAATTTATCTTCTATTATTTATCTACTTTTCGTGTGTGTGTGTTTTTTATAGAACTTTGTGCTTCTGCGTTGTGTTTACTGACTTGCCTTTTCTAAATCTTAGTTATGGGTTCATTTTCATCGGTATGTATTTTTTTTTGGTTTCTTATTTGTGTTATTCTTATCAGATTATAATAATAATAATAATGTCCTCCAGACCGAATACCGGTTACGGCGGCCTGCCTCAACGGAGGCTAGCCATCGGCGCAGGACAGGAATATAGTGCCCAAGTGTATGCGCAAGCACAGGTGCACTCTCTATTGCCTCACTCTCATAACTCGCTGGGACGGTAAACGACACTGCCGGAGAGAGATCAGGCGCAGGACCAACGGCTTTACGTGCTTTCCGAGGCACGGGGGTGAGACACCGCCAACTTCCTGACTCCGGGCAGCTACTGAGAATTTCTCGACAGAAAACTCAATAACTGATTTGTTGGCCCGACCCGGGATTTGAACCCAGGACCTCATGATCAGCAGTCGCACTACTACAACCACTAGACCAACGAGACAGTCAAGCTATATCTATATCAATCTATATCTATTAAAAGTATCAGATTATATGGGGCATGCAGCATAGCTCTTACTTAGTTTTCATGTTCTGACTCCGACTTTTTTTTCGTATTTATGTAATGCGGTACCTTCGCCTATAGAGGACGGTTGTGACTTATTTTTTTTATTAATTTTGGGAGGGTTCAAGCGCTCTTAAAACTAGGTATGACATATAATTTTATTTTATAACCGCGTCTTGTCGTCGTAACTTAGCTGATTAATTGTTATCATCTTTAACATTTTTTATAGAAGAGGGGGCAAACGAGCATGCGGCTCACCTGATGGTAAGTGACTACCGCCGCCCATGATCAACCGCAACACCAGGGGAATTGCAGATGCGTTGCCGGCCTTTTAGAAACGAGTTAGCTCTTTTCTTGAAGGTCCCTAAGTCGTATCGGTCCGGAAAAATCGCCGGCGGTAAACAATTCCACAGAGAAGTCGTACGCGGTAGAGAACTCCTTCTGAAATGTACAGTGGTAGACCGCCAAGCATCCAGATGGTGAGGATGGTATCGTGAATTTTGACGCGATGTGCGTTCGTGAAATTTGGTGGCTGGAAATAATCCGAACAATTCCTCAGAACAGTCTCCGTGGTAGATGCGATAAAAAATGTAAAGGGATGTTACATCCCTACGCAGCGCCAGTGAATCGAGCCGATCTATGTATTATTGCCGAGCTTGATTCTATTTATTATTTTAAAATAAAAACTGCATAACTAAACCAATATCTATAGCGTCTTCCTCGAAAAATAGCGCTGCTGCAGTAAATGCGGTAGCATACGCTGAGTCGGAATCCTTTTTGGCATCACATTTTTTATTTATAGAATAAGGCTGACAGCACACAGTCCTCAGACACACTTTTTGTACACACTAGAAGAAGTATACAAAATACATAAATTAAAAAATTGAAAACCCTCTAAACAAAAAGGGCTCATGTTCTTCTAACGGCTGAACAGATTCTCTTAAAACAAAGCTCAGAACTATGATGCCACAGACAGACTCACTCACATATATACTGCGTTACAGGTTAAGTAGACCTAGATCCTTTAGGAGGTTTTAGTTTGAATTATTTCCGATTGTTTCGACCATAGAATACTATAATACACAATAGAATGGCTGTCAACCTTATTTTGTACGAGGATTGGAGTCGCCAAACCCGATTCGCTGTGTTGTCAGACTGAGTAAATTTACACATTTTAGATTTCTGATTAATGTGCAAGATAATCGTTAAAAATAGTTAAAATTTTAATAGATATTTACTTGTAAATAGGGTGCAATTTGGCATTTTCTTAATAATTTTCATGCGAAATTCGAAAACGATTGTAACGTCAAAACACATCTCGTGTTGACATTTATACGTGTGAATTGACATGTTAGTGACATTTTAGTGGCTACACGGGCTCCGCCCACTCTCCCGTTCCATTATGTATGTATTATTGTATTCTATGGTTTCGAATATGAAACACCATGCCCCAAACTTAACCGTTTTCAAGATATTGAATATTTAAGTTATTTTTAAATAAAATTTGTCAATTTTTAGTCTATTGTACCATTTTTTTCTGTAATTTGTGCTTCTTGTTTTATTCAATTTTTTAATAAATTTTGTGTACTAAATTAGTTGTTTTATTATTTTTAACACCAAGATTTTAGGTAAATAATCAATCTAGATCGTTAGTAGACGATTGATAGTTGAAAAAATAAATTAATTTGTAAAAAGCGTTTTTTTCTTCGAGGAATATTTAAAGAAGTCTATGGTTGTTATTTTGCAGATGTACTTAAAAAAATCTAAGTTTCTTCAGCTATTCGACAAGGTATTACAGTCTAAAGTTTATCAGAATTCATAGATAGACAATGTCGTGAACGCACTACGCGGCAAACGTCCCGATACCATCAACACCATCTGGATGCTTGGCGGTTCACCACTGTACGTTTCAGAAGGAGTTTTCTTCCGCGTACGACCTCTCTGTGGAATAGTTTACCACCGGCGATTTTTCCGGACCGATACGACCTGGGGACCTTCAAGAAAAGAGCTTACTCCTTTCTAAAGGGCCGGCAACGCACCTGCAATTCCCCTGGTGTTGCGGTTGATCATGGGCGGCGGTAGTCACTTAACATCAGGTGAGCCGCATGCTCGTTTGCCCCCTCTTCTATCAAAAAAAAGTTAAGTTAAATTTTAAAGCTACTGCATTAGACGTCCCACTGCTGGGCACAGGCCTTTTCTGAGAGACGTTTAGGGCAAGGAAGTGTTCGTCGCGCTGTCCCAATGCGCGTTGGCGAATCTCACATGTCTTCGAAATATTTCTTTTCTTATTCCTCAGACATGCAGGTTTCCTCACAATGTTTTCCTTTAACGCCGAGCACGTGGTAAATCAGCACTTAAAATTGCAATTAACCATGTCATTGGTGTCGGCGGGGATCGAACCCGGGTTACTTGCGTTCTGTTATATTTACAGCGAGCGTTAACCATCTAAGTTACCACGGCTCTACGTACGTAGATAGGCTGTAACTTTAATGATAATGTTGATGAAATCATACGTCTTTAGGAGTTATTTTTTCCTAAAGCACTTCGAATAAAGTAGATGTCCTTCTATAGACGGCTCTTCACATCGCAGCTGAGCGTGGCCACGCGGAGAACGTGCGGACTCTTCTGTCTGCAGGATCTCGACCTGATATAGTTGACGCCGCTGGTGACACTCCTCTCGGCTTGGCAGAGCGTGGCTGCCACCGTCATGCTGCTCACGCACTGCGAGAGGCAAGAGGTGAGTGTATCTTTAGGCTGTGCATTTAGTGAAGTTTACTTCTATTATTATAGAACGGTATTAACATATTCCTTGTATTTCCGTGAAGGTTATAGGTATAGTTGTAAGCGCTGTTGTAGAATTCAGATATCACCAGTGGAAGCTGAAGCAGAAGCCGGGGCAGATCGCTGCTCTAATATGTAAAAATTAATGTTTAACTAAAACTAGTTTTAACGGATTTTATCTCGTATCATAACGTTTTTATATTCCCGACGTTTCGAGTACTTTACAGTACCCACGGTCACGGGGAGGACTGAGGTGTTCGTCATCCCGATATCATAGTTACCCACAGGTTAAGATTATTAATTTTTGTTCCGATCTACACAGTATGAATTTATAGTATCTTGAAGTTTTGCAGTTGAATGCTTGGGTTGGGGTGTAATTTTGTTAATTATAGGATGTGATTTGATTTCAATAGCCTCGCGAATCATCCATGGAAGGAGTGGGTGTTCTTTAACGAGGATTTGTGGTCTATCAAATCTGATGTAGTGACGGGGGCGATCCTGTACGTGTTCACAGACTGCAGACTTTCCGGAACGTCGATTCTTCACATCAACTATATGTTCTTTAACGCGGGTTTTAATTGTTCTTTTATTTTGTCCTATGTAACATTGGACAAACTGCGAAGAAATTTATATTTTTATTTTTTATAATTATAAACCAATTAACTATGACATCGGGACGTAGAACACTTCATTGCTGGGGGAAAGTAAAGTGCTTGAAACTTCGGGAATATAAAAAAGTTAATATACGCGATAAGATCCGTAAAAATTAGTTTTATTTAAATGTCAGTGTTCGCGTAAATATAAGAAATCACTAAATCAATGTTTGTTCGTATTTTGTGCGCTGCCATACCGTTCATCGGATTGCGGTATAACTTTGTCAAGTTATTGATTGCACTTGCGTCAAGGTTATATGCATAGTAAGTACAATTAACTTTCAGTAGATGGCATGCGTATCATGCCGACTTTGAAAGTTATTTGTCATTCAACTACAATGTATGTATTATCATTCCTAATTAAACAATATAACTCTTCCAAATTTAAAACGATATTTCTGCAATTAATTTTTAGTTTTTTTTTAATTTTTTTATGTACGCACAACAAGATACAGATACAGTCTTATAGTAAGTTCGTACAAAGGTTCTACTTATTCCATAATTTGCTGAAATATCTTCTAGTAGGGTCTACTCTACTACCTACTTACCAAGGAAATATATTAAAATGGCAAACTTAATGCGTACATTATTACTACTAATGAATAAAATAACATACAAGATGTTACGTAAATTATCTAAATCTACTCTATACATATAATAAATCTGTAGAAAAGTTATTTGTTCACGATTCACGTAAAAACTACTGTACGGATTTCCAGGTTTGTAGCAGTAAGTGATGGCGTATAACATATAGGTAACTTTTTATCCGCTTATGGATGAATAAAAAAGAGGGCACAATGAAATTTTAAACTTAGTATGTAATTGCTTACTATCCTATATCTTTAAACGAGCAATTCTTGTAAATATATATATATATATATATATATATATATATATATATATATATATATATATATTATCGGAATCTCGGAAACTGTTCCAACGATTTTCATAAAATTTAGTGTCCAGGGAATTTCGGGGGCAATAAATCGATCTAGCTAGTATTTATTTTTAGAAAATGTCCTTTTGTCCGTGTTTTCAGGCAATAAAAAAACTGCTATAATATAAGAAGGTAAATTTCGACAGATCACTAACGATCGTTATAGCTCAGGTGGGATGTTGGTCGGTCAGGCGTGATATCGGTGTTCCTTGGTTCGCGTCCCGTCTCTGGTCTAGCTTTTTCCTTTTTTTTTCAAGTTCCCTTCTTTTGTGAGAAAATCTATTATTTCAAGCCCTTTTTTTAGTAATTTTTAAAAATACGAAAATTTTAATAAAACTAATTGCACTCATGATTTTTTATTCAAATAACCAGTTCAGTTCTTTCTATTCTGTCAATAAGATCAAAAAACATTATTTATGTTTCATCAGTATGTAATTCAAAAATGTAATTTAAAAAAAAACCGAGCAAAGCTCGGTCATCCGGGTACTAAATGTATATAAATAATAATATAAATATAGAATCCATACAGCTCCGAATTGTTTCTAATCCGTTTTAGGATTCGTCCCACGGAGCTCGAGAAGCCCGCCGCTGTCGGCCTTGACGTCGCGTCGTCGAAATTAATTCTATTAACTGGTTATGAAACTTGCCTAATAATTAAGTTGGTCGCAAACTTAGGTCATATAGCGGTCAGCTACCTGTTAGAACGCATCTAATTAACGGGTTGCAACATTATATGCATTATCATACTTTTCTTTCGTGGTAGAGCCATGCTGCAGTTGTAATGTGGTTGAAACTAGGGTTGCCACCTTTAAAAAAAAAGTATTTTTCTAAAAAAGGATGCAAAAATATAGTACTTTTGAGAAATTTCGGAAAAAAAAGTACACATTTATTTTTAATTATGCCTGCACTTAATACAAATATGAATGTATTTTTCCATATATATTATTGCTTTGGCCATCAATAATCTAACCTCCTTACCTTCTACCTTACTTTTAAAATAATTAATAGGAGTCTGATCAATTTAGATTTGTATTAAAATAAATTAAGAATTAATTTTTAATTAAATTAATACGTGCTCGTCTTTCTTCTGTCTATTTTACATTCATGTCGATAAAAATTCTTTCCGTAAAACATACTTGTCCCAGACTTTCAGTCACAGTTAATATAAAAAAGACAGTTGAATTAGGGATATAAATATAGTATTTTTCGTACTATATTATTTTCCTATAATATACTAGCTTGCCAGGCAGATGTTGTTGTGCCCTTTTCGACGACCCTTTGTCATGTCCTATTAAAAATCCTTCAATTAGCAAAAGAAAATTGTGTGTCAGGCATGGGCAAAAAACTATCCTATCTCTCAAGTCGGACCAAACTGCACACGGTGTGCAAATTTGATTAAGATTGGTTAAGTAGTTTAGGAGTCCATCGCGGACAAACAACGTGACACGTAATTTTTATATATATATATTAAGATAAGATGGTACAAATGTCTGAAATATATATTATAGTATAATACTATATATTAAAGTACGGGTGGCAACCGTGGTTGTACTCGTAGCACGAATTGGTCAGCTTGAGAGAGGAAAGAACTACGCTTTCACAGAATAGCAGCGTAAAATATTAGCTTAGTGCTGCCGTGTTTCGTATGGTGAGTGTAGAGAACTGGAGACCCTTTTTACCGAAAACGATTCCATCTTAGTTCTCAGGGAAGGCACGTGGCAACGCATCTCCATTTTAATTCTTTGTAGAGGACAGATGTAGATGTCTACGGAATACAGCATCCACTTATCATCAGCTGGACTGTGTACTTGATTGTCGCCCATATTCTATAAAAAAAATTGCTGATATTTCCCGAGAGCCGTGTTAGCTCAGATGGTTAACGCTTGATGTAAATATAACAGAACGCGAGTAACTCGGGTTCGATCCCCGCCGGCACCGATGAAATTGTTAATTGCAATTTTAAGTGACGATTTACCACGTGCTCGGCGGTGAAGGAAAACATCGTTAGGAAATCTTCATGTCTGAGGAATAAGAAAAAAAAATTAGAAGACATGTGAAGTTCGGCAACACGCATTGGGGTAGCGTGGCGGACACTTACTTGACCTGAAACCGTCTCAGAAATGAGGGGAGGCCTTTGCCCAGCTGTGGGACTTATATATGCTGTAGCTTTACTTTTTTTACGGCCACTACTGAACAAAAGCCTCCCCCAAGAAATGCGGCAAAGTACGGTGACCCCCGACTTCCTGAATGTCTTACAAGTCTTTTTTTCCATTTTTCCCCTTCGATTGTAAGTTTAGCTTACTAATCCGTTGGGCTATTTCGGTAACTATCATCTACTGTGGATATTATTCTTCCAAGTTCTATCACGCAGAGAAAATATTTTACTTGTTATTGAAGTACATTATTAGTTTTTTTTAAAACGTTACCACCACCACACTTCTCCTGTGTCGTGGGTTCGTGGGGGCAATTTACATACATAAATTACGAGAACAATCGTACAGACATGGAACAATTGTTTGTTGGACATACAAATACATGTTCCGTGTGGGATTCGAACTCGCGGTCCTCACCACTACACCTTATTGCTAAACCAATGCGGATAGTATCGTTTCGGATTCTATCGCGCTGAGGAACTTAAACCTTCTAAGCCTTTTCGTAATTAAATAGGTACATCATTAGGTATATCTGGACTTGTGTTTTAAGGTATTAGTATGGACGCTTTTCCTCTATTTGCTAATACCATATGCAACGAACTATTCTATCTATTTTATACGTAAAATAGCAGTTCAATGCTGTTATTCGTATGGTGAGTGTAGAGTACTAGAAACCCTTTTTGATGGCCCCGGTACCTGAAAAAGTAAAAATCATTACCATAAGGTGGAGTGTTCTTTTCATCATATATATAAAAAAATTAGATACTATTTATTAATAAAACTTTTAAATAACATTCAAAATTAAGTAGCGGTAAGTTATATTTTATAAAAAGTAGTTCAGCTGCTTTTACACCTAACAATCTGTTCCAGTGTTCTTCATATTTAAATCCAGATCAGCTAAATAATTTATCTATATGATGATATGATGCTGAGTATACACCGAAGCTAAACTGGCATTGAAATATGGGCAGACCCTTCAAAGAGCCGCACTTAAGTTTAGCGAGTAGGTAATTTAGTACAGCCCTAGCGCGAAAATTGGACGTAAACGAACTTTGAATCCAAAATACTCATTAAAGTATCTTTAAAAATAATTAATATAAACTACAAGTAAAAAATAAATACTATAAACTTCACGTGAAAAATAATTAATATTAACTTCATGTAAATATAACTGCTGCCTAATTAATTTTACAAATCTAAGTTGTAACATAGGTTAAGTTGTGACAGGAATACATTTTATAAATAAATAGGTATGCAATTCCTAGACTCACCATTTTTTATAGTTTGCAATGAAAGTTTTACAGTTTCAACTAACTTGTCAAACTCTGCAAACTCTTCGGAGTGTATCACTAATAAGAGGGCTCTTTAAAGCGGTAGTTGTGCGTTCTTTTCGCGAGTATATTTTGTCACATAATTTACATCTGGCTGCTAAATCATCAATCTCAACGTAATAGTTTCAAACAGGACTTGTTTTTGACTTCATGATTGCATTTAAATTGCACACATGACTCAAATTACGAATTAACTAAAAAAACAATAACAGAAAATCTTACGCACTTACACTCACGTCACGCCGTATAATAAAGTTAAAAAAAGTATGTAAACAAACCCGTTGGGACAAGTGCCGAAATCACGTGCCCAGCACGTGGTTGGCTGAAATGCCCCTCCTCCACCCCTCCTCAACTTATGTGGCTACGTCGCTGAGTTCCGTTCAAACTTCCGTTATAAAACTTGCGGAAACGGAAGCAGAAACGGATGTTAAAAACCATGCAGAACTTCCGCAGTTGCGGAAACAGAAACAGAGTTCTGCTGCATCACTAGTCATCACCCTTATTCTATTAAAAAAATCGTAAGTACTCTTTCAGAGTGGAGGCGGGCGCGGGTGCTAGCGCGGGCGCGTGTAAATCAAAATGTATGTAGACGCCAGTTGCATTCAGAGTGCTCCCGCGAGCCGAGCGTCTGCGTGAGGCGGGCGCGGGCGCACTCGGCGCGGGCGTTTCTGATGGCTGGGTCCGCTCGCATCGTTCACAGTGATTTAGCGTCTGTTTGACTACGCTTGTGGTTCTAAACCATTTTGATTCACCCGCCGAAGCGTCGTCAATCATCATGGATATCAATACGGAAGAATTTATATCTGCAGTACAACATCGCACTGCTATTTGGCAGAGCAAACATCTGTAACATTTAAATAGGGTGGCCATAAATAAATAAATTATGGGAAGAAATAAATTGGTGTCAATCCTGACTAAACATGGATCTCGGAGATCTTATTTAATATGTGGTTAAAAGTGTCTAATGACATTCTCGTGTATTCAAAGAATTTCCGTAAATCAGCGTATAATACATAAAATTCTCCAAACTCTTCTCTTCCTTTATTTAAATCGTGTGTGCCAAACTTCTATATTGCAATTTCCATTTCAAGTATGAATTTTCCATATATTAATTTATTATATTTAATAAAAGCAAATCTTCATCCATCCATCTAGTGCAGTCTGATTGGGCGATAAGTGTTTCCGAACTGAGCCAGACAAAGCTGTCACCTGTGTAAGTCTCAAGTTCGATGCTCGAGCGGTCCTTACAAATGTCTCAGCTGTTCGCAATGTGGAATTTCGCGGGGGCGATAGTAAATAGTGATGTTGCGTCTGGTACTAAAAACTGTTGGTGCGTGTGAGGAAATTATTAAATACCGAAATCGAGAAATTAAACAAATATTACTTTTGTGTTTTAGTGTTTAGAAATTTGATGATAACCAATATCTCTATTTCTACTCAAGATGTGTGTTTCGTGAAAGGAAATATTTAGAACGTCGATTATATATTTAGAAATGATCCAATTTCTTTTGCCGTGTAATGGCGGCCTAAGATAATTTCACTACACCAAATCATGTCCCGGGGTCTTGTAAGAGGTTACAGAGTTAAATGATCAGATGGGCAGCAGCATCTTCCTGATAACAATTCAAAATAATAATAATTGCGGCGCTGGTCGGCTCTCCAAGCGTGAGCTACGAGTACTATCGATGTCTCCACTATGAGTTAATCTATGTGGAAGGCTTAAGTTCAGCTGTGGGCTTGATAGGCTGTTATAAATGTTGTCTTTTTTATCAAAAAGGAAAAACTAATATTAAAAGTGCTTGACTCGCAATATTTAGACCGATGATGGGGCGCCTTTAAGAAGATACCTTGAAAAAGGATCGTAGTTTTGGGGGCGTGGCTTATTCCTTTGTCGGTGAAGCTCACGGATGACTAAAGGAGTGTGATAATGAAAGTGATGCAATGACTTCATAATACGCACATTATGAGATAGCTATACCGAGCACACGCTCGGAAAAAAAGTAAGTAAGCGCCAAACGACATTTTTATTTTTTTTTAACAAAACTACGTTATGAATTAAAAAAATGGTTTATGAGAACTTAGATATGATTATTTACTATGCCGTAAAAATAATTCCGTGAACTTGTTGGTAAAATTATTGTGGTGTCATGGAAATATGTAACTAATTAGAGTCTACTTAGCAATTTTTTTCTATCGAGAAAATTTCATGATATCGTGTTTTCCTTTTATGCAATCCAAGGTCATATAGTCCAAGGTCAAAAATCATATACCAAAATTTTGGTTTGTAATCTATAAAACTTTAAAAAATATGTGAAATAGAAAAACCACTAAATTTTCGAGATATCACCTCAAGTTGCGTGGCAGTTGTTACTTCGATCATAAAACCATTGGCTAAGTGAGAAAATTATAATCAATCTCTGCAACTTGTGAAAGACTCAGCTTTTTGATTAATACGAAGTAAAAAAGAATTTTTTTTAATTTTTTAATGAATTGATGTATAATTGGTTAACATATTGATGTTGATGTAATTGAAACCCTTAGAAGGATAAATACTTGTTGCTCCAAACGTCTGCGTTATGAAAGAAAGAAAAAAACAAGTCATTTATATATGAGCATATATAAACATATTTATGTATGAACAGGATTTTTTTACATCTATCCGCAGTTAAGAATCAAAAAGCAGATGCGTAGTCACTCCCAAGAACTAACATAGAATGCCTCGTTTCCAGTTAAGAGAGTCACCAGTTCTCTACACTCAGCTACTATTTCACGCTGGTATTCTGTAAGAGTGTGGTCGATTGCCTGTCGAGCCGACCTATTCGTGCTATAACTATAATATAGCTGCAGGATGGCTCAACCACGTAAGAGAAATAAAAAAATAAAAACAAAAGGAGTAAAATTATGATTTTTCAAACATCTCTTGTATTTTTAACCACATGTCGGTGAAGTTTAATAATTGTGAGGATAAATGTAGTTCAATGAAATTAAATAATTTATTTGCTCTTCTAAATACAAAAGGTCTTACGGTAAAGTGATATAATATGATGTACTAACAAATTAATGGCCTTAAAACTTTGGGCCAACGTAAAAGAAAAATAAAAATATAGGATAGACAGCGGCATCTTACACATAGCTACTAAAAATATGTATATTGATGTTAAATTGTGTAGAAATCCTTCGCCTACACAATCACAAAACCATTATGAAATTAGAGGCCTCTTACGACGAGGTAAGCAACACGGCTGGCATTTTTTTGTTATAAGTCCTACATAAACATAGGACCTATCAGTGCCAGACCAACATAAGCCTTTCCAGCCTACTCGTTATGATTACAACATAAAACATCAAACGTAACGCTCTGTTGAAATACTGGTTTTGCATCTGTACCAAATGCCATAGGAACCGGTACGCGATCGATTTGCATGCAAGCCCTATTCGATAGCTTTACTAAGTTTTTATCATTTCAGTTAGTACAGCTTGCGCATCGGAGCGGGACGCGTGTGTCATTTTTTTAACGGTTATTATATTACGATAATAGTTGTAATTTGTTATAATTATTTTTTATTATCTGTGAAAGAAGTGGTGAATAGTGAGAGAGTGTCAGTGATTGTTTTTGTTTATTTTGTGTATTTTTAACAGTGATTTGATAATTTAGGGATTCTTGAAACACCCAAGTATTATTTGAATTTACTTCTTTTTATAGAATAAGGGTGGCAAACGAGCACACAGTCCACCTGATGGTAAGTGGATGCTACGGCCCATAGACATAGTCTACATTTATCCGGGATTAAGAATCAAAATCCAGATGCGTTGTCATCCCTCGAGAACTAAGATGATACACCTAGTTTCCAGTAAAAAGGGTCTCCAGTTCTCTACACTCACCATGCAAAACACAGTAGTATTAAGCTGCTATTTTACGCTGGTATTCCGTGAGAGCGTGGTCCTACCCCGGTCGAGCCGACCCATACGTGCTACAACCATAATATAAGTAAATAATTTATATGATATAGCTAAGAATCTAATAGCCGTGTTAAAAATATATTTTTGGTCACATGTATTGATGTGAAAAATACGATAGTTTAGATTGTAGGGGCCGGAGACAGTTAACGAGTTCAGAGTTGGCAGTTAAGAGTTTAGAGACAGTTAACCAGATGCATGAAAAAAGTATATCTCCGAGATATTTGCTTATTAAAGCCTGTTAAGTCATGCGCTGTAGCACTTGAGAACATAGTGTCTTAAGTTTTTAATACCATTAAGTGAATTCTTCGATGAATACTTACTTGTTCTTACGTGGTAGAGCCACGCTGCAGCTATATGGTTGTAGCACGAATGGGTCGGCTCGACCGGGTTAGGACCACGCTCTCACAGAATACCAGGGTAAAATAGCAGCTTAACGCTGCTCTGTTTCGTATGGTGGGTGTAGAGAATCGGAGACCCTTTTTACTGGAACAGATTTTTTATTCAATATTTGTTAATAATACTTAATGAAAGTCACTTTTTAATTTACCACTGGTTCGGGAAAAACCTCTGTTTGTGTATGTTACAATTAACAACACAAAACAAATTAGAAATAGCTTGGTAGTGATCAGTCTTCCCAGAAGTTATTATTCATACATTCTTTAATATTATGGTAACCCTTTTTATACAAACTTAGTTTAATAAAGTTTTTGAACTTTGTGTAGGTTAAATTTTGTATATTTTCTGGGATTTTGTTGTAAAAGCGTATACATCGCCCCAAGAGTGAATTACTGACTCGGTGCAGTCAAGTAACTGATACTACTAGCTTATGTCTGTTCCTGGTATTTATTGAATGAATATCACTTATTTTTGTCGGGATGAATTTGTAGGAAACGTGGCATTCCACCTTAGCCGTCACGGGTGACAACGCATTTACAAAATGCAGATGTGTTGTCACCCGTGATGGCTAAGATGGAATGCCTGATGATGAAATCGTAATCGAGGATAGATGTAGATGTCTATGGGCAACAGCATCCACTTACCATCAGGTGGGCTGTGTGCTCGTTTGTTACCCTTATTCTATATAAAAATAATAAAATTGAAGCGTCTATTTGTAATATCGAAATGACTGCTTTTTATTGAGCTGAGGCAATTACTTATAAGAGGTGCGCCGAATATTCGTTTCATATTCGGTATTCGGCAGCTTTACCGAATATTCGTATTCGGCTAAATAACCCAACATTCGTTAAAGCGGTACTCAAAGTGTTCATTGTATTGAAATGTACGAATTGAGTAATGCCATGTCTTTCATAATTTTACTGTTGAAAGTGTATTTTATTTATAGGATATTGTAGATTTATTTCCAATTATAGCAAATAGAAAGCTTGATAAATGTTTTTGGAATCAAACAAAGAAACTTTACATTACATTAGTACATTTCATTTTATTTTTGTCCTCAATTTCTCTAAAATAAGTCCAAATAGTAGATCTCCTGTCACTCATTTTCATCATATAATTATCAATTTTCACTAAGAATAACACAACTAAATACTTTTTTCTCACAAAAATAGTCAAAACACAAGCATGTGTCAGCAATTTGATTAGTACTAGATGATGCAATAACATGTTAGGTGTGGCGAGGCAGCGAGGGGCAGTCTGGCGCTAATCACGCGCGCTTTAACAATTTTCGACATAAGTTGGTTAGGTACCGAGGTGATCCTGCCGAATAGAGTTCGGCCGTATATTCGGTTCGGTAAAAGTATTACCGCATTTTCGGCCGATTATTCGTATTCGGTGAAATCAATGTTCGGCCCAAC